ATCGCATCACAGGTGTACACGTCTGTCACAACCCATCGAGCCGTCTACATAAGGTCAATACACTTTACTATGTGGACTTCTATCTTCCTCGGGGCCAGGGGGCGGCATATAGAGGAAAAGGACTTCTAGTTCCAAGAAGGACTTCTTGATCTCAGGCTTGTGAGCTGGTGGGATAGAGAGTCCACTTGCTGAGAATGAGAACATGAAAGGAGGAATACATTTCTGGGAGAAACTGAGCATGAATCTAGGACATGCCACCCTTGAGATGCCCAGGAGACATCTCTGTGATGGTAGCTCAGGGCATTTGGACACATGTCTGGAACTCGGAGGAGAAACCGGCCAGGCGGGGTTTGGGGAGGGGCGCAGGGGGAGGCATCTTAGACCAGGGAGTTCTGTAGACCTGAGAGGGAAAGGTTGGGTGGAAGATGAGCAGGTGGAGGACGAGTGAGGAGCGCCCGGAGAACCAGGAAGAGACCCAGTGTGATGGTGCACCGTGGAGAGAGGAGGGACTATCTTCCATTTCCTAATGACCCTTCTTTTTCCAATATCTATGTTTTGGCAAATGCTTCTGTGCCCTTCCTCCCCTCTATGCCAGCCATATTCCTACACATTCTTTGACTCATAATCGCACATCACTTCCTCTATGAAGTATTGTCTGAATTCCTTCCTGAGGATCTACCACCACCTTCTCTGAGCAATCATGGACATATTTCCGTTATAGCTTTTGGCAGGTTATACTGAAATTAGTTACATCAGTTTCTTCCCATCAGAGAAGAAGTTCCTAAAGGCAGTGATTGGATATTATTATTAATTTTTAATTGCCAAAGTCTAGCACAGTAACCTGCCATATTACGTGAACAAGAGGCCTGCTTCAAGTCCCATTCAGGTTGGTGCCTTTCTAACCCTGGACGCAAGTTTTGTTCACTGTTCCAATTCGACCATTTATAAATATATTCCTAGAAATAGAAGACTGAACATCTAATTATCCATTAGGTGGATAATTGATCCTGTTTTGGAAAACCAAAACACGGAAGGCAAAGCAAAGGTCCCAAATCCACAGTTGCTCTGTATATCTATGCTGGGACGGACAGCTGTTGAATGTTGGCCCTCTCCCAGACACTGTCCTGGGCAATGAGCTTCATAGTGAATTAGCCACAGGCCTTACCTACCCTACAGATCTTAGAAGGTCACATACACCCACAGACCGTAATAAACTAAACCCAACTTGCCCAATCAATGTATGAGAAACCCAAGTCAATGTAAAATGGACCAGATCAACCAAGATCTTGCCAGTTAGATGAAAGAAAAATTCAAGTTTTAAACATGTTTTAAAAACCATAATAGCGTAAGCACTTGCTTAAATGTTGCACCAACAGGTAAAATGAGAGATTGGGGGAGCTGACAAACTTGAAAGTGAGACCAACACAAGAGGCTCGGATTAGGAGCCTAGAGACTTGGCATTGCCACCAAATAGCTGGACCTTCCTTGAAGGGAGGGGAAAAAATTGATCTCTCAAGTCCTCTCTAGTTCCAAACAGGCCTATTTTCTGGTTTTAAAGGTATTTGCATGAGAAAATGTTTTCAAAGTAGTAAAACACATTGTATCCACCAGGGGGCAGATTATGCCCGAGGAAATCCACATAGGGCTACAGTAACCTACAAGTTTTATTTTTAGACTCAATTTTCTCTAAATTCCCACAGCCTCAATCACCACTAAAAAAAAAACAAAAACAAAACAAAACAAAAAAACTGCCAGAGAAATCTATTAAACAAGACACATTTTAATGAGAACTCTATTCTTAAAAGACTCCATTTCCTGAGTTAATTTAGATAAATACAGTTACTCCGTTCACATGGGTGTCACACAATGGGAGCTTTCTATTTGGGATCCACTCTCCCTCCACCTCCCACCTTATTTTTAAATACCGCAGTCTTTGGCATGAAAATGCCAACCCATTTCCGTTTTATTACACATACACACACACATATGCACAATGACCTCGTTTGATTTTCCTCTTTCTTCCTAAGCTACTCTGTCTGGCAAGTGATATATGAGTCATCCTCTCATTTTTCCCATTGAAAGTAAGAAACACAAGCAATTATCAATGGCAAATATTTAGGTACCTAAGTGTGGAATACAATCTGACCTTCTTAAAATTGATTAAGTTTTCTTTCTTCCTGTTAATCGTATTAAATTATATTCTGTATGCTGAAATGGGGATCTTATATTCTAACTTCTGAGCTTTGGTGAAGTTCCCTGCAAGAGCCTACAAACAGTGCTTCCAGACATAAGGCAAGTTTCTTGATTAGAAATGGGACCCTTGGAAGCCCCCCCCTTTTAAATATATTAAATAGCTTCATTTTGATGAACTACAAGTCATAATGACTCATTTACTTAACTAAATAAATGGATAGCCTCTCTCTCCAAGTTATTTCCACAGCCCAGGACATTAGCACCATAAAAGTGATTAAGAAAAGAGCTTTTATCTGCCCAGATGCTTGCCTCCCCTTAAGGGGCAGAGAGAGAGGTAGAATGAGAAAGGCAAAGTTCTGCTATTCTATTCATGTAATTCTGATCTGTTGTAAAAGCAAAGACCCATGCACTAGCGTAATGGGCAAAAACTGTCGGTAAGAAGAATATAATCCCTAAAGCAGTTTTCCGTGTGTGGCGCCGACAGATACTACTGAGCAGCCACGTACATCAAAGGACTGTTGGAAGGCTGATACCTGAATGAGGTGATGCCTGTAAAGTTCCTGGCACAGTGTCCAAAACACACTAACCCTTCAGAAACCATTAGCGTCCTCATCTTTGGACAGGTGCCACATGGGACCCTTTATCTCCCAATTGTCCTCAGCTGGCGGGGGCTGCTTCCCTTCCCTGGGGTTTCAGTGAGGGACATCCTCGGGCATGTCTGCCCATACCTACAACCCCACCTTTCCTCCCCCAGGAGCTGGGGTGGCTTCCCTGACAAGTGAACTGGGAGGAAGGACTGGTCTGCTCCTCACCGGCTGGGAACTGGTTTCCCGCAGTGATCGTGGCCACCACTCACCTGCCTGCATCCGGATCAGGTGCTTTGGTCTAATTTGGGGCTTCGATGTTAGCCAGCCCTATTGGCTTCAAGTCTAAAGCTAACATATGGCTCTCCATCTGTCTTACTTCCATTGAATCAGAAATCCGGAGGGCTTCAAGAGGGTCTTATTATCATCTCACCTAAATCCAAAGTGCCTTGACCTTTCCTCTTGAAATAATGTAATTATTTTGCCACAAGTTGGGACTAGAAAGTCACCTACAACAGAAGTCCAAATCTTTCCCACCAGCCGTTGTGGTACACTCCAGACTTTCAGTGACAGGCGGGCCCCATGAGTGCAGGCCTGGGAGCGGGAATGAGGCAGTGCCTGGGTAGTCCATGGAAACTTCACGGAAAGTGAGGCTCAGCACATCTACTCTGGGTCCTATCCACGGGCGCTCTGAACATCACTAGAACACGATTCTGGGATAAAGAACTAATAAGAAGATCCAATTGGGGGTGCCTGGGTGGCTCAGTCGTTAAGCGTCTGCCTTCGGCTCAGGTCATGATCCCAGGGTCCTGGGATCGAGTCCCACATCGGGCTCCCTG